AAAAACAAAACAAGCTTTGCCCGTGATTGCAGTTAGATACACTTTTTGGAGTACTGCCCTCAGTTAGGGCACTTCGGCAGAACGAGGAACACGGGAAGCACCACAAAAATGAATGACGAGGGCCCTGACTGAACTGCTACCTAAAGGCAGCCCGAGTTTCAACTGCAATTGAAACTCGGGCCCTGACTAAACTGCTAAAACGCAGTTTCAAATGCAATTACAAACTGCTTCCGTGACTGCGCCATAGTTACCCCTAGAAACAATCATCGCTAATACACATGTGGCCTGGCAAGAGCTCACAAGAATGCTTCGTAAGGAATCAGATACAACCAAACGGAATGAACTCTCTGATAAATTTCGCGAGTGCGGGAAAACTCTGCGAACTGGATCAAGACAACCAGCTGTGATGGAAACAGTGGATGTTGATAGAACCACAATGGGAACGCTTACCAAGAAATCACTTTCAGTTCCCATTCCAACCGACCAATTTCATCCTCCTTCCGGACGTACAATAACCTTTACACATCGGGATCCGCTCCACCCCCCAAATGCCCCCTCATGGCCCTATCCAAACCCTACCCAAACCCTCCCCCCAAACCCTCCCGCAATTCTAATCCACAGTCCTCCATCTCCATCCATATCCACCCCCCATTCGTTTCGCAGAAGGCCGGTCACGAAGGGACATCCCACTACAGGAGAAGCATAAGGGATTACGCCCTGGAGACAAAAGATGAAGTCACCACCCACGCCCGGACAACGGACCAAGATCAACTGGGAGGAGCTTCAGACGGCAATGGATGGAAGGCTAACACAGGGGAATATAGTTGGGCACAACAATGGTGATACAGTTCGTGGACAATGGACCGCGCCCCACATTTCGAAGCCTAACACAGGTGGACTCAACAATGGATATAGAGCTTAGACAGACTGATAATACAATGACAACAAAGGTGGACACAATAATAGAGATAGAACAACTATCCGGCAATCCACGACATGGGTATTTGGGAGGGAGGGAACAGGAGGACGGTCAAGAGCACGACATGACCACTATGTACCCCCTAAGCACCTAGAATCGGAATTCACTAAAACAATGATCCAACAATCCCCAAACCACAACAACCATCCGGCAATCCACGACATGACCACTATGTACCCCCTAAGCACCTAGAATCGGAATTCACTAAAACTAACAGTCGTGCCGTTCATAAACACAATCTATAATCCAGCAGAGATCCAAAGACAAAGAAGTGCTGAGCAGCACCACGTCCAAAGTAGCATCAGCAACAGTGGACAAAACCCGGTTATGGCTGAAGCCCTGTGTCAGCAATTCGCCAGCAGCTCTGGGCGATACCAGTCGCAGCAAGAAGTCCGTCGTCTTTCTCCCGGAAGTCGACGCTTATCGGTGTACTCCCTTCATTCATCTCCAGTTCTTCACTCAAGTGAGATTGCATCCGCCGCCACAACCCTTTAGTGTTATGTATCTGCAATCAGTGGGCGAAGCCCCCTGATCAGGTGATAATTCTGGTATGCACGGTGCGCATATCCCGCCCGTTGACCATCCTCACATCTCTCCCCTTCCTCTCACGGCCAATCTAGGATTACCAACGTTCGTTGACCAAGACCAGGCTATGGCAGGTGCATGGTTGTGCCCCCTCGAAGCGGCCTCCMCCTCAGCGCCCACACGCTCCATCMCCCCACCGCCTCCGCCACACCCAACAGCAAGTTCTGGCTAAGCATAGCTTATTCGCAGCTACCCCTGTGCGATCCCCCGCTGCCTGCGCACGGTAGTGATTTTCGTCCAATGCGGGACTCGGTACGAAAGCATCAGCCGGTTTAGCTTTACCAGTAACCGAAAATTCCCTCCAACTGGTACCTCTATCTAAGGGTCTTCTCTATCCTAAAACACAACTACTTCAGAAATCCTACACTAGTTCTCTCCACTTCTTCCTTATCCTTCGCTCCTTCCACTTTGCACTATCCGCTCCCTATACTCCTTCCCACTCCTCCAACTTCAAAACTTTGTTCTCTACAGAAGCTCTTCCTATTTTAACGGATGTCCCGAAGGACCCCCGCAGTTTTTCGCAGCTCTTTCCTGAGGGCATACTTTTTCCCTTCAGCTGTGGACGTAATTGCGGTCAGATGCACCCACACCAGACCTTAACTAGAGTCATATACATCCACTACAAGCCGGTAGTGTGCGGTAAGTACTGCACACGAGCCCGCCTGTAGAGGAATACAATATATTCTTCCAAGATTCTCCTTCGTTTTCACATCGCCGCTCTCTCCTTTCGTCTTCCACTCTTTCTCCTCGCCATTGCCCGCGAAGCAGGTGCTCGCGCTCTCGGGGTTGTCGCCGCCATCGCTACACCTCGGATCGCCGCCGCCATCGCTTCACCTTGCCACCGCGCTTCACCGCGATTCGTTACAAACCGTATACGACAATCAACACCAAGAAAATGGCGCGCAAGTTTTTCGTCGGCGGCAACTGGAAGTGCAATGGCACCGAGGAGAGCGTTTCCAAGCTGGTGGACACTTCAAATGCGGGCGCGATTGAGTCTACTGACATTGTGGAGGTGGTGGTTGCTCCTACCTTCATCCACATTCCGCTGGTCAAGGATCGCCTCAGGAGCGAGATCCAGGTGTCTGCTCAAAACTGCTGGGTGAAAAAAGGCGGCGCGTACACCGCCGAGGTCAGCGCCGAGCAATTTCTGATCTCGGCATTCCCTATGTGATCCTTGGGCTCTCCGAAAGGCGGCATATATTAAAGGAGAGCCATGATTTCGTTGGGCAGAAATGCGCTTACGCTCTTAGCAAGGGGTTGAAGGTGATCGCGTGTATTGGAGAGACGCTGGACGAGAGAGAGGCGGGGACCGCCATCAAGGTGTGTGCGGAGCAGTTGACTGCCTTCAAGGAGGCCATTGGTGCGAAGTCACTGAGAACTGGAGCGATGTGGTCGTGGCGTACGAGCCCGTGTGGGCGATAGGTACGGGGAAGGTAGCGACGCCAGAGCAGGCGGAGGCGGCGCACGCGGAGGTGAGAAAATGGCTGGCGGAGGAGGGGCACGCGGGTGTGAGATCATGGCTGGCGGGCGGAGAACGTCAGCGCAGAAGTTGCGGAGGCCACGCCCATTCTGTACGGAGGATCTGTGAAGGCTGGCAACTGCAAGGAGCTGGCCAAGAAGCCGAATGTCTATGGCTTCCTCGATGGCGGCGCCTCGCTCAAGCCCGAGTTCATTGATATCATCAACTCCCCCCAGATTAAGGTGGCTGCCTAGAGATAGAGAAATAGAAAGATAGATAGATAGATAGATAGATAGATAGATAGATAGATAGATAGATCGATAGATAGGTTGATTGAAAGATGGATGAATGAATGCTTGTGTGTGTGTGTGTGTGTGTGTGTGTGTGTGTGTCGATAGATAGGTTGATTGAAAGATGGATGAATGAATGCTTGTGTGTGTGTGTGTGTGTGTGTGTGTGTGTGTGTGTGTGTGTGTGTGTGNGTGTGTGTGTGTGTGTGTGTGTGTGTGTGTGTGTGTGTGTGAGAGAGAGAGAGAGAGAGAGAGAGAGAGAGAGAGAGAGAGAGAGAGAAGGAGAGTAATGTTCGGTCACTTCGGTTGATCTAGTTGGAAAGAATTCGGAATTGATTTGAGTCCGACGATATTGGTGCTTCGAGAACGCATTGGCTGTTTCTTTCTTCTTTTTTCTTTTTTGAGAACGTGGTTGAATGTTTTGTTTCCTACGTAGGAAGGTTCTGAAGTCTGTCTCAGATCAATCATTTTGATGAATACATCATGGCTGAATACATCATGGGATAAATCGTCCACTGTCTCAGATCAATCATTTTGATGAATACATCATGGTTGAAAGAAAAAAAAAAAAACACAAGAGATTATCCCACCCCCACTCCACCATACTTACATCAGTTGACATTGTACCCTTTGCCCAGGAATAAGGCCAGATTCAGGGTAATTTTTCACAGGGTGAGTCGCGAGTCACTATAGGCAAGTCAACGTAAGATTTGCACTTGACAGGAAGGATGACGTAAGGTCCCACTAACTTGAGGGAGGTTTTTTTTTTTTTTTTTCTCGCAATAATATGAGGGGCTATTTTGGGGCAACCGCAAGGCCGAGCCAAGCAAGGTGGCTCTAGCCCCTAGGGGAGCTGGCCTAAGTCTAGCTTTAATATGCGCCCATCCCGGGTTCCTACGTACACGTACTTGTCGTCAGGACTGATCGCCAAGCCCCACATGCCCTTTGTAGGCCGCCTGGCAACGATCTGGTTGGACAGAGGACTGCCACACGCGGAGTCGAGAGCGACAAGATGCAGCTCGCCGCCCAAGTCTGTGAAGAAGACATTTCGACCGTCCGATGTAACGGCAATCTCCATCAGAGACTCCGTACTTCCCGAGGGGAAGGGAAGCTCGGTTCCCAAGAGAGGTAGCCCGCTTCCGTAGAGAGGTATCAGTTTGCGAGAGGCTATGTGAAACGCCCACACTCTGTTTCGCCTGCCGTCCAGGAAGTACAGGCAACTCCCGTCTGCGGCGAAGCTGTAGGGGCCAAACACTGGCCTGGTGAAGTTGGGAGGACTGAGCGTAAGGAAAACGGTGGTGTTCAGCGAAGCAGGAAGAAGAGGAGTCGAAGCAGCGACCTCAGCCACGAGAACCCGGGGCGGGATGAGCGGGTCGGCCATGTACAGAGCCGTGTGGTTGGGACTGAAAGCCAGGCCCGAGATCTCTCCTAGGCTCACTGGAGTGGAGAGGCGAACTCCAGAGATGACATCCAAGGAGACCACCCAGGATTTCTCTATGAGTCCAGAGGCGTAGGCACCCATGATCAGATGGCTTCCGTCAGACGACAGAGCTGCAGTGTAAATGTTGGCCAGCGAATCTAGTTCCGTCCAATTGCCAGCAATAGGTGCAGAAGCAGGAGGGGGGCCCGACGGACTGGCGACAGGCCACACGTAACTGAGGACGCTGACCTGCACAAGAGGACTGGGCTGCGATGGCTGAGCTGCCGGAGAGAGGCTTACCATACTGCCCGGTCTGCCTTCGAAGCTGACTGCCATGATTGATCGGAGAAAGATACTGCCGAAGAACTCCTGCATGCCACAGTTTTCAGTGACCAGGTAGTACAGCCCGGACGCGTTGGGACGCACGACTATGTTGTGGATGCTGGAAGAGCACTTACTCTCGTTCGCGAACTGAAGAAGTGCGTCAGGCACTGGGTGGTCGACCAGAGGTGTGCAGGCCGTGATAACCGAGGCGTTCAAGATGGTGACGCAGGGAGGGACATTGGGTTCCGCAGGAGAGGAGGCAGGTGCGCTGCTACCGGTAGCCTGCTAGAACCGCTCACTCGAACGCTTGCCTGCGAAGGGCGATGGGTCCGGTCCTCCGAAGCGGCCCTCGGCTTTAACAGCGGCTTCAACGGTGCTGATCAGCTCGCCTCCTCCTCCTCTTCCTGCAGCACTGAGTGTCACGTCCAGACTGCAGCACATAGCAACCATCAACAGCGGCAGAAGCAACCTCTCACTGACAGAGACTTGTGAGAGAAACAGACGCCTAGAGGTGCGGACGGCCGTCCGAGCGAGAGCTGCTTCCCGACAGCTGCAGTCTTCGAGCACAGCACTTGGCAATGCGCCTTCAGAAGCTGAGCGGCTGACTCCTCGAAGCCCCGCGTCTGGATCCCCTTCAACTACTCCAATCAAGCCCCCCGAGCCTCCGCTGCTACCTAGACCGGCCATGGTAGCGGCTGCGTGACGAGTAAGAAGCTCCGAACGAAAGAGAGCGCGGGGTGAAGAACCTCAGGTCCTCAGACGCTTTGCCAAAGCCCGCATACAGTCTGCAACTTCTTCGGTAGGATCTCTTTCACCCTAAGAACAACTAACATTGCTCTCTCTCTCTCTCTCTCTCTCTCTCTCTCTCTCTCTCTCTCTCTGTGTGTGTGTGTGGTGCGGTGTTGGCTGTACAAGACTCCACAAAAAAGAGAGACATTGCTTTTCCTGATTGTTTCCTGGAACTATAACCCACTCATCTGGACGGTGAACCTTGCAATCCTTGCCGAGGGTGAACCTTGCAACCCTTATAACCCACAAAAAAGAGAAAAGCGGTTGATATTACTCGCAAGAGCCCTGCAACCCTTGCCGATTGTCGCTCTTAACCCTTACAAGAATGGCAGTGTTGTCATGTTCGCTATACACCAGCCATGTGTGTGTGTCTATACTACGATGGGTGGGTGACTTGGACACACAGGCCCGGTGCGGGTGGGGTGGTGGTGGGGGGGACGAGAGAGAGAGAGAGAGAGAGAAGATTTGTGAACACTGGACAACATGAGAGAGAGGGAGAGAGAGACAGGGGAGAGAGAAGATTTGTGAGCACTGGACAATATGAGAGAGAGAGAGGGTTTGTGAGCACGGGGTAGTCGACCCAAAAAATTGGAAAGAAAGCCTGTCCCATGGGCCTCGCTCCTCACGTCCCTATGTGGTTTGCTGCTGCTCTCACCAACACGGTCCAACGCCAATCTTTAGTGGGGTCAGCGTCAATCTTTGGTGTGTGGTGCGTTACTGCACACACTCGTCAATTCCGTTTCCCACCAAACGAGGAGAATCAGAGAATTTGCGAGTGTTGAGATTTCCAACATCTCCATCCTCCAACCTCAACTCCACGCAGATGCTTCCAGGAAGCACCGTCGTCCATGAAAAATCCTCAGACGGCTTCCCAGTTTTGTTGGATGGGTCACCTGTCTGACGTGTGCGATGGGAGTGTTGAGTGCGTCCAACAACTCTACCGAATCTGCAGCCCGCAGCCTCAACTCTGCGCAGATCCTTCCACGAAGCATCCT